AAAATGCAATCGAAAAATAATCAGCTACGGAGCAGGCAAATTATGAAGCTGTTTTGACCAGTGCTGCTCAAACACTGGTGATCAATCTGCTGCTGCTGGTCTAGAGTTCATGTTTTCTGAGAAGTACAAGTAAATTGGGATTTAGTGTCGATTTGTTTACGGTATAAAAGGAAATATTTGGACAGGTGAGGCAGCTCATAGTCTGTTTTCTCAACTAATTTTTCTACCTTTTTTTTGTCCGGCGCTACTTAACTAGTGATCCTGGCGTTTGCTCTTTTTTTTTTAAAACAGGTGGAAAATTCAACAAAAAAAGTTGATATAAACATACTTTCAAGGAAAGTGATGCAGCCAGTGTAGTGAAGAAATAAGCTGAAAGCAACAACATGAATTTCAGAAGTGAAATGGGCCAGTCTGTATTAAACATATTGAAATGCAAATGAATTCACCCAGCCGGTCTTCCTCGGACACTCGCTCTCAAAGTACTAGTACACAACCGATTCGAATCGACTTCGGGACGCGTTTGCTTGGAAATCATGCTCATATCAATCCCCACCCATTTTGCTTCTCGCAAAAAATCAGCTGGCCTGGACACCGTGAGGATTGACAGATCGAGAGCTCTTTCTTGATTCGGCGGGTTGATGGTGCATGACCGTTCTTAGGTGGTGGAGTGATTTGTCTGGTTTATTCCGATAACGAGCGAAATCTCTAGCCTAATAAACAGTTACGGGATTATTTATGTCCAGCACAGGCACTGGCAAAACTGTTAGGCTGCTGATGAACAAAGTCAGGGTAGCTTAATGAACAGACGCTGATAAACCTGATGTGATGGTAAAGAACCACCACAATTCGACGCGTCTGCTAATCTCCACATTACTTTTTTGCGTGATATGTCAAGTTTTCCGCGATAAGTTGCCAATAATTTTACTGAATTCAGTTTGCTTAAGTTTTACCGAGTCAGAAGAATTAGGCGATCACTTTAGAACTTGAAGTGGTCAAGTAGAGTTATCCAGCATTCTGTTTCAACAAAATGATTCAAAAAAGAACGTCCTGCTCAAAAATCTTGTAGTTGCGCTTATAAAACCAAGATCTTCAATAAGAAAGCGACTTGGACAACAATTGTTAGTGGTTTTTTTTGAGACAAACTCACTCGCCGGAAGCAGCGAGGTTTTATCCCCTGCTTATACAGGTGGCGGACTTATTCCGTACAGTATCAAAAATATGCTGCATAAAAAATTACATGCAAGTATTTCTCGAGTATAGGTGTAAAATCTAAGTGTGTTTGTGCTCAAGCTTCCGGAGAAAAAGCAGTACTAATTGGGAGATTTTTCAATTGTGGCCTTTGATGCACCTCTTCCAGCTTTCCAATCAATAACACAGAAGTAGAGGATATCTAGCATTTTAAAATTATTATACTTATACATGTTTCCTTACATTCATGCACATATTTCTTTTCAGTATAAATCACGATTAATACCAGTAATTTTATGCCCGTTTTTAATCGAATATCAAGGGGGAACCTAATTAGCATAGAGCGAAGAATAGTATTAAGGATTATGCTGCGTCGGAATCAATGGGAGTATTTGTGCTTGGGAATTTATCGGAATTTTGGCTTTAGCCTCATACGTCATTTCCTTCATTCGACAGGAAACGCTTGCGACGAAGGCTATTTTCCCCACAATTGTCAATAAGGATAATCGCCTGCTGTTTTAAACACTCGAACCGCCTTTCCAGTCCTGTATGGAAATGCTATAATATATTAAAAATGCTGTTTTGTTCGAGAAAGTTAGATTTATCCCTCGGTATGTGTCCACCCTCCTCCCTCTCTTCTGAATTCGCATTTGCCTCTTTGCGTGGCAACCAAAAAGCGTCTCATGCTTCTCTCAATGCTGAATCAGATTATATGATGGAAAAGCGTAATCCTGTGGCACTGGTTACGCTGTATATAAAAGCTCTAACTCTCGGTATTTAGTTACAAGCAAGTCTGGAAGGCCTCCGCTACATTTTGTATCTGCGACTGGAGGCACTGGAACAACGGCGTGTTACTGGAATGGATGGAAAAGAAAAAGCGTCTCATGCTTCCGCCAAGAAGGATACGAAGGGAAGAACTGGTCCAGATTATTGGATCGGTAGATGCTATTCCTCCAAGACTACGCTATGTCTGACGTCCATCGTACTGATGCAGATGGTCTCGGTGGTTGCCAAGGGCTTGGTAATCTTTTAAAACAGCACTTATTATACAGTTCTGGACAAAAAAATCGTTGGTGATGGCACCTTTTTGTTAGACCGGTAGCATTTGCCAGATCTGAACCATTTGCTACTGTCAGATCTCCGAAAAAAAAAATATTTCCCAGAATTGCATCCTGTGAATCTCTATAAAGCCTCTCGGCACGCTTCACGCGTAATATCCTTTTAGATAAATTTTGCTCCCTTCCACTTATTTTAATGCGTTTTGTGCTGTGTAACAGCAGTACAAAACGCATATTGTCACGGGGTTGTCTGTTTGTGTGTTTGTTTGTGTGTGCGTGTGTGTGTCCGCAGCAACATGTCCGCAACTTTCAACTCGGGAACCACAAAAGCTAGGAAGCTGAAAATTTAGGAGAAAGTTCCCCGCCCACGTGTGACCCCGCAAATTTAAATTCAGCTCCCACGTACCCGCGGGTAACACGTATGGGCTCGTGAAAGTTTTTTACGGGTAAATTAATATCTCAGGAACCACGGAGTCTAGGAGGTTGAGATTTTACGGTAATGACCCCCTGCCCACGTTCAACCTTGCCTATTCAAATTCAGCGTTCCCGCGCTCTAGAGTATCACCTACGGCCTCGTAAAAATTTTGGCGGGTAAACTATTAACTCGGGAATCACGGAAAGATATTCACCTTTCAAGATTTCGAATTCAGCTTTCATGCGCTGGTGCGTGAAATTTTTGACTGTTTTTCAATGTTTGAACTATTTTTGCATAGACCCCACAAAGTTTCAGCCCTTTATCTTGACTGGTTCCCGAGATCGCTCTCCCGCCAAAAAATCTGCATATTTCTTTAAAGGGCCCATACGCGGCACCCAGGCGTCCGTATGAGTTGATATTAAAACGGGAGGGTCGCGCATTATATGGGCACATACTCCCAAAGTTTCAGCCTTCTATCTTTGCTGGTTCTCGAGTTGAAAGTGAGTGACAAGAAGTGCGAACATACAGACGCACACACATATACACACACACAGACAGCCTCTTCCCAATGTGCGTTTTGCAATTAGCATACATGTAAAAAGGGATTATAAGCTGGGAAATAAGGAGACTATGAATTAGAAGTGGATAAAATCTTCTTTCAAAAGGCTTCGATTGCAAAACATTTTTTCGAATAAAGGGCGGATAAATCGAATACTTTGGGTTACTATTTAGTGCTAATAAAAAAAAGTGAACGTTCTCGACGTTTTTGCAGCTTGCGAGCCCAATCGAATTGAAAAACCGGACAAAGAACGAAGCTAACTGCACTGATAGCCACCGGCCACTTCCGGAAGGACATTGGGCGACGTTCGTTAGAGTAAGCGAAGGCACTGAATACGCTAGTCACAGCCAAAACAGAACTTGCAGTGGTAGAAGCTCACTCATATGTAGTTATTGTGGTAAACCCTTTTCTACTGCTTCACGGCTGAAGATTCACATAAGGACTCACACGGGCGAGAAGCCATACAAGTGCGTACAATGCAATAATAAGTTCGGAATATTGGGAAG